GTAAATAAAACGCCAGAAAATGATGGAATGCAGATTGACTTCTACAAGTGTTTTTGGGGTCATATTGGAAACTTTGTGGTTAATTCATTGAATACTGCTTTTGAGAAGGGCCAGCTATCCCCAACACAACAACAAGGGGTAATCACTTTATTGGAAAAGAAAAGAAAGGAAAGGAAAAGACAGGAGATTTTTGAAAAATTGGCGACCAATCTCATTGCTGAATGCAGACTACAAGATTGGTACAAAATGCCTGGCCAAGCGATAGGAAAAAATTCTTCCTTCACTCATACATGAAAAACAGTCGGCCTTTGTGAAAAACCGATTCATTGGGGATGGGGTGAGATTGGTTGAAAACATTCTAGATTATTCAGATAAACAAAAAATACCGGGCATTTTATTGAATATTGATATAGAAAAAGCATTTAACATAGTTGAATGGGATTTTTTATACAAAGTGCTGACAGCCTTCAATTTTGGAACTGACTTCATTCAGAAAGTCAAAGTACTGTAACAAAAATATTTCTAGTCGTGTCATGCACAAGGGTACAAGCACTGGCTATTTCCCACTTCACAGAGTTGTGAGGCAAGGGGATCCCATATCACCCATGCTTTTTATTTTGGCCTTAGAAATTTGTACGAGTTCAATGCGTGATGATCCGAATATTAAAGGGTTGGAAGTGGACGGGGGGGGGGGGGGTTAAGGGAGCTGCGTATGCAGATGACCTTACTTGCTTTTTAAGGGATGTACCATCTTGTCATCGGCTTTTTGAGAAACTTAAACACTTTCAAATAATCTCAGGTTTAGCAGTAAATAAATTGAAAAGTGAAGCAATGTGGTTGGGAAATGAAAACATAGAAAAGATAAACCCCTACGTCTTAGTTGGCCTAACACTCCCATTAAAATTTTGGGAATCTGCATCCCGTACGATAAAAAAAATTACATCCAGGATGAATTGGGCTTCCCCATTTGAAGTTATCAATTAAATTTAAGCCAGTCAGGTCAAGTGTAAATTTAAGCCAGTCAGGTCAAGTGCAAATTTAAGCCAGTCAGGTCAAGTGCAAATTTAAGCCAGTCAGGTCAAGTGCAAATTTAAGCCAGTCAGTTCAAGTGCAAATTTAAGCCAGTCAGGTCAAGTGCAAATTTAAGCCAGTCAGTTCAAGTGCAAATTTAAGCCAGTCAGTTCAAGTGCAAATTTAAGCCAGTCAGTTCAAGTGCAAATTTAAGCCAGTCAGGTCAAGTGCAAATTATTAAAGCCTTGGGTAGTTCCAGAGTGTTATATAAGTTAAATATGACTGAGCCTACTATTGAAGTTTTGAAGAAAATTAACAAACTCATTTTTGTTTTTTTGTGGGGAGGTCCTGATAGGATTGCCAGGAGGACAGCAATTGGTGGTATTGAAAAAGGAGGTTTAAATGTCCCAGATGTATTTTTAATTCATAAAGCTCAACGTATAAACTGGATGTGCCGCTATTTTGATGAAACCACACCTTGTTCATGGAAATGGTTTTTGAAAAATAATTTGGTGAAAGTGGGAAATATTGAACTACTTTTGAAAAAAAATTTTGACATTAATATGTTGCTGTTAGAACTTAACAGCTTCCACCACAGTATGCTGAAAACCAGGCAGTCAGTGAGGGACTACTCCCCTGAAGTGCATCTCCTGAATCAAATAATATGGAATAACAAAAACCTTTTGATGGCTGATAAAAGTTTTTATTACAAAGAATTTGATGATGTGGGGATTCACTATGTGGGGCAACTTTTTAGTAATAGGGGTTTTATATTGGATTGGAAATAAATGATGAACAAAGTTGTCCTAAAGCACATGTTTTTGAAATGGTACAGAATTATATCATCAGTACCTTCAGGGTTAAAGAGAGGTGCGGAAATGAAATATTTTGATATTGTGGGACAGGAACAGATGATTGGGGTGAAGTTTGTTGATTTACATATTCACTTAAATCAATGTACAGCAAAGCAAGTTGTTAAGGGTATTGTTTCACATAGCTTTATTCCCCCCACACTCGGAGAAGGTCATTTTGGAATTGCTGGGAAACTATCTACAAATTACCATTCAAAATAACAATAGATACTAAATTGAGGAAATTTCAATGGAAAATGATCCACCACTTAATAATGATACCGGTAAATGTAAAACTAAATAAAATTTTGCCCCAGATTTGCCAACAATCTAAAATGTGTACATTTTGTAAAGGGGAAGTGGAAACAATTATGCACCTTATGTATGATAAGGTGTTCTCTTGTTCAGTTGTTTTGGAAGGCATTTTCTGAGCGATGAGGAAAACATATTGGGTTGAGAAATACTTTATCTGATGAAACAATTCTGTTGGAAGATCCACATGAGTCATTGTTGCTTATTTTTTTATTATTTGTAACTAAGCGTGTTATTTATATCTGCAAATGTTAAATGCACATATTAAGAAATGGGGTAAATTTCTGACTGTATTGACTATGTAAAGGTATTTCATATGAGATTTATGTGAAACTGAAATGTATTTTTTAAGAGACTTGACTCAATAAAAAATATCTTAAATATATATAAAAAAAAAAAAAACTGTCAAGTGTAATTTGATTCGATTTGCAATAATAAAAAACTGATTCAACAGAGATTTGGATAATTGGGTATCATTTTTGCATTACATTCGGAACATTTACCTTTCATATTGGGACTCAAAAATTACTACCGGTAAGTACTACTAATTTCTGCAATAATATATCAGTAACATAATGACCACAATGAATACATTTATTTTGTTTGTGTTAATTTACTTTTCAATAAAGTGTATCTATCATGTCAGTACAATTTTTTTGTGTTGTTAACAAAGTGTATGTGGAGAAAAAAAACGTTGTTTGGTGACCATTTTGAATTTATTATAAAGTCATTAGCGACATCTTGAATTAGCGAATCAGTTATCTCACTGAATTCACGAAAGAGACATGTTTTACAGTCGTTGGAACATAAACATATCAGAAGTATGGATCCAGAAGATGATGCTTGATTATAATGATTTTTTTAACATTAAAGTGATTGAAATCTTGTATCTGATGGTCAAACGAGTACTTGTCCATATTGAGAAATAATGCTCTGAAATGGCCAACACTCAGCCATTTTGAATAAATCTATAACACGATGTAAAACAAATATACCAAGTTTGAACAAAATCGACCCATAAAAGCGAAGATTCAGTTCTGATGTTTTTTTAGCACAAAAATGGCTGCCATTTGGCCATTTTGAATCAGATAGTCAAACCAATATATCTATATCATAATGTATAATGAATATATAAAATTTGAACATAATCAGTCAAAGCATGGCAGAGATATGGCACTAGAACTGCATTCATTAAAACAAAATGGGTGCCAGTGAAAAAAAAATGATGTGCATCAAGATCTCATAATGTCCAACGTATGTACCAAGTTTGAACAAAATCCATCCATAAAGGCTTGATTTTGATGATTTTTAGCACAAAAATAGCCACCATTCAGCCATCTTGAATCAGATCGTGAATCAAATTGATGTGCATATGTATAATATTATGTATGACGTATGTGTGGAGTATGATTGTGATTGGTCCAGGCAGACAGGGTAAATGCCAATAAACTCTTAAGCACGCTTCACTTCAGACATAAACAAAGCATCTTATGTTCCAACCTAGCATCAAGGGTGCTCAGCTCCAAAAAATATGTTTTTTAGGCAGCAACAATTTTAGTTTAACATGTGCCAGTTAATTAACACCTCTATGAAAAATTTACAATATAAAAATTATTAGGATGTGTGGGAAATACAGTCAAAGTCAAGATCTTTATCATTTTGAAAGGTAAACATTAAACAAGCAGCCTATCAGCTAAGATAGCTCCACTGTTAGCAATGCACATTTCAATTAAAGAACTGAAAATATCAGTAGAAAATGAACAATATGTATAGTATCAAAGCAATTGGACTTGCTGTTTTTAACAAGAAGTCGAAAATATCACTTTTTACCAAAAATTACAAAAAAATTCACCAAAATTAGAGAATTAGAGATATCATCACAAAATGAACAAATCTGAGAGAGGTCCACATGCAGTACCTATATATGTAATATCAAAATAATCAAACTTACGGTTTTTAAAAAGAAGTCGAAAATATCACTTTTTACCAAAAATTACAAAAATAGTCACCAAAATTAGAGAATTAAAGATATCATCACAAAATGAACAAATCTGAGAGAAGTCCACATGTAGTACCTATATATGTAATATCAAAATAATCAGACTTACGGTTTTTAACAAGAAGTCGAAAATATCACTTTTTACCAAAAATTACAAAAATAGTCACCAAAATTAGAGAATTAAAGATATCATCACAAAATGAACAAATCTGAGAGAGATCCACATGTAGTACCTATATATGTAATATCAAAGCAATCAGACTTGTGGTTTTTAACAAGAAATCGAAAATATCACTTTTTACCAAAAATGACAAAAATATTCACCAAAATTAGAGAATTGAAGATCTCATGAAATGAACAAATCTAAGAGAGGCCTACACAAGGTACATATACACAAAGTATCAAAACATTCAGGCTTGTAGTTTTCAAGAAGAAGTCGAAAAAGTAAAACATTGAAACGGACGACGGACAATCACTCGTATGATAAGCTTCGCTTGACAAAGTTGACAGCGGAGCTAAAAAGTGTGGAGAAAACAATTGTAAACAGGTCATGTTGAAGCATAGTTTAGACGTTCACATCCATTTATGATAGTCACAATGGACACTGCAATTATTTGAAAAAATACCACCATGCCAAATGACCAGGTTTCATTACTTGTCCGTCAAATTTCAGGCATTTTGGAAGGTCAAAATTGCTACCAAAAATAGAAATCCTCCAATAGTAGAGGGTGGGCATTTAGTCAAGCTGGTAAGTCAGTTGAGTACAGTATGCGCTGTATCGGGGAACAATGACTGCAATCTTTCAACACTATTTAACCATTGCTTACCGTTAAATTCTTTTGTTCTAATTCGTCCTTTATATCTTGCATAACAAGGTTTGGCTTTGAAGAAATCAACGCAATACGGATGTTTTTTTCTACAGAAACAAACAATTGAAAACAGTTACCAGTCATAGTTTGCATTGTACAAAATGACACATACCGGTATGTATGCACAAACAGGCACAAGACCCCCTAGCAAAATGAGATTTGGTGAATTCAACAAGGTTTTTTCTGGGGATGAGCAAAATCCAAACCAGATTTTACTTTGGACAATGTGCATGGACTGCGATTTCTGAGATCTACTATGTGAACAGTTTTACAATTCAGCTTCTATCTTTTTTGATTTTCACTGAAATGTCACTGTC